CCCATCTCTAAAAATACCTGGGTATTGTAGTGGGAGTCTGTAATCCCAGCCACTTGGGAGGCTGAGGCAAGAGGATCACTTGAACCGAAGAGTTTGAGATTGTTGTAAGCTAAGACACCACCGCACTCTACCAAGGGTAAGCAAGTGATACTCTGTCTCAAAAAAAAAAAAAAAAAAAAAAAAAATCAAGTGCTGAAAAGGATGAGAAAACAGGTACTTAAATCCTGCTGGTGAGAATATAAATCAGAGCAGTCACTTGTAGTTTGCAACCTAGCATTTTCTAGAATAAGTACAGATAAGTGTGCCCTTTGACCTAGAAATTCTATTCCTAACATTCTACATATGTACACAAATGGATGATTTCACTAGAGCACTACCTACTTGTAATATTAAAAACTAAAAACTACCTTTTAATATGGATAAAACATGGCTTGCTTACACAATACTACCTTTCGATTAAAAAATAGGAAGTGGGTTTACAAAGGTAAATATAAAAAAAAACCTGTTGAATGGCCAAAGAATATGAACTGGATGTTGCCACTCCTGTAAAATTTTAAAACAGAAATGTACTTTAGAGCACTCATTACTTTTGGAGAGGAAGAGAAGAAGACTAGTTAAGCGGGCCTTTGGATTTAACTTTATATTCATTCTCCTTTATTAAAAAAAAGTCTGAAGCAAATATATTGAGATATGAACATCTACTTAATATGATACTTCCAAGTATACCCTAAACACCTAGGCTTTTAAGACAAGCACTGAGTAAGGTGTGGGGAACAAAAATGGAGCATGATGCACAAAGTTGAAAGCCTAGAAGAGCTCAGGGAACAAGATAGGATGGCTCGGCGCCTGTGCCAGCCACATACACCTGAGCTGGTAAGTTTGAATACAGCCCGGACTGCCAAACAACGACAGCTGCAACCAAAAAGTAGCCGGGCATTGTGGTGGGCACCTGTAGTCCCAGCTACTTGGGAAGCGGAGGCAGAAGAATTGCTTGAGCCCAGGAGTTGGAGGTTCCTAGGCACTCTACCCAGGGTGACAGCTTGAGGCTCTGTTTCAAAACAAACAAACAAACAAACAAAAAAAAACGAAAACAAGCTAGGATGAAAGTGGAGAGTCTTTGGGAAAACATTTACAAATAAGAATATTAAGTCCATAACTGTAATTCTGTGGGTTCTGAGCTCACTCTGCCTCCTGAACCAAGTAGTTTGCCTTTGAACTTTTCTGCACTTGGCAAGACCTTTGGGGCCTTGGCTGGGCCTTGGCTTTGAAACAGCTCTAAAGGGACTACCTGATATCCCAGGACACGTGAGCTGTGAGCTACAGCACTCTACTGAGGGCAAAGTGAGACTCTGTCTCAAAAAAACAAAACAGAATAAAAAACCAGGAAATGTAGTTAGAATAGTAAAAATTCAATTCATTGATTAAAATAACAGATTATGGTCAGGGTAAGAGAGAAAGGGTAAATTAGAAGAAAAGATCTAACTTAAGCACGAAGTGGCACATTTCATACAAAATATAAAAGAGAAGTTAAGAAAAGGAGGAGACAGAACCATATATTCTAAAACCTATCTAATGGAATTCTAGGAGAAAAAAATTTCTTGGACAAAATTATACCAAACCTGAATGGAACAGCATTTAGTATAATTCAGTGTTCATAAATTAAAAAGATGGAGAAAACTACAAGAATGTCTAAGGTGACAGAACCATTTTTGTACAAAGATAGTTTAGAAATAATACAGCTTGAGAAGTAACTTGATTTTTATACTTACCACTTTTTTCTGACTGCTGGATAATGTGGATAGGAGTAGCAAAAAATTTATCACTGGTCATGGATTCTGTTTCTATGGTCGTCTCACTGTGTGATTTACAGCAAAATTATAAGGTTAAAAACAGTTAATTTTAAATATCTGGGAAAAATTTCATCTTAAGAAAATTAATCTTAGCTGGGCACAGTGGCTCAGGCCTATAACCCCAGCACTCTGGGAGGCAGAAGTGGGTGGAATGCTTGAGCTCAGCAGTTCGAGACCAGCCTGAGCAAGAGTAAGATACCCCCGTCTGTACTAAAAATAGAAAAAAACCTAGCTGGGCATTGTGGCCAGTGCCTGTAGTCCCAGATACTTGGGAGGCTGAGGCAGGAGGACTGCTCAAACCCAAGAGTTTAAGGTTGCTGTGATGAAGCCATAGCATTCTACCCAGGGCAACAGAGTGGGACTCTGTCTCAAAAAAAGAAAAACAAATGAATCTTAGTGTATATCATCAAGTGTAGAATAACATTCAGTCCTTTTTTATGGATATTTAAAAAAATGTGTAATCAATCCATGAACCATTTTCTATAGATACTTTTTTTTTTTTCTGAGACAGAGTTTCACTATGTCCCCCCTTGGTAGACTGCCCTGGCATCATAGCTCACAGCAACCTCAAACTCTTGGGGTTAAGTGACTCTTGCCTCAGCCACCACAATGCCCGGCTATATTTTTCTTGTAGTTGTCATTGTTGCTTGGCAGGTCTGGGCCAGGTTTGAATCGCCAGCCCTGGTGTATGTGGCCAGAGCCCTAGCTGAGCTCCAAGTGCTGAGTCTCTGTTGGTACTCTTGATTTAAAGAAGTGGGTTAAAAACCACTTTCTTAAAGGAAAGTCATTAAGTTCAGTTCATTAGTTCAAAAGTAAACAAGTGAGGGTGCTGAAATCCATGCCTGAAATCCCAGAACTTTTGGAGGCCAAGAAGGGAGGACTGCTTCAGGCCAGGAGCTGGGGGTTACAGTGAACTATGATCTTGCCACTGTCCTTCAGCCTGGGCAGAAGAACCATATGATTCATTGCTTCAAAAACCTAACATAGCTTGGAGCCTATAGCTCAAAAGGCTAAGGTGCCAGCCACATATACCAGAGCTGGTGGGTTTGAATCCAGCCCGGGCCTGCCAAACAACGACAGCTACATTCCAAAAAATAAAAATGGCCAGGCACTGTGGCAGGCGCCTGTAATCCCAGCTACTTGGACGTTGCTGTGAGCTGTAATGTCACGACACTCTACCCAGAGTGACAGATTGAGTCTCTGTCTCAAAAAAAAAAAAAAAAAAAAATCCTGACAGGGAACTTTACAAGTATACAGATACATATTAAGAACTTGTCAGGTGGCACCTGTGGCTCAAAGGAGTAAGGTGCTGGCCCCATATGCCGGAGGTGGTGGGTTCAAACCCAGCCCCAGCCAAAACTGAAAAAAAAAAAAAAATAACAAAAAACTTGGCTCGGCGCCTGTGGCTCAAGCGGCTAAGGCGCCAGCCACATACACCTAAGGTGGCAGGTTCGAATCTAGCCCAGGCCCGCCAAACAACAATGACGGCTGCAACCAAAAAACAGCCAGGCATTGTGGC